CAATCGGTCGACACTTATGTCACTTATATTGAAATACATGGCAAATAATTGTGTGAAATGTTAGCTAAATGAGCTTGATATAACTATATTTTCATAACACACTCACTAATAGACACTAAATGTTAGGTACTTATGGTATAAGCAGTTATTATTTTAATATTACTTAATATTATGGCTTAAAAAGTGGTGGATTTTACACAAAACATATGCAATACTTTTGTAACTATTATTTGTTAAGCAAATAACATTAGCCAACACTAGCGCACTACCGGTGCTCATCATAAAAACCTATCCCGAGGCGTGTCAGTAAATGATATGTCTGTCCACTCGAGTGATACCCGATTATTGATGTAAAAAGTGCAGAATTGGTGACAAATACCGGTGCGATCACTGCCAATAACTATACCCAGGGTATGGCGGGTTGAATGAACACCAGTTGATACAACATCCCGACTCTGTGCCGGACGTGCCGTGTATTCAGTGCACACACACTGACTGCCAGTTTAGGACCAAATCTAACGGGGCTTTGAAGGCACACGTGAGACAACACACCAAACACTACCGGTGCGATCGGTGCGGCAAAGGGTTCACACATTTATCTCAACTCAAACACCGCGCACCCACACATGACGAGTCGTTACAATACCCGTGCGAATGAGCATGCTATCGAAAAGTGGTCATGGTAGTTTGACTAATCATATGGACACATAAACGGGTTAATAAAAGTACCGGGCTGTAGCTAGGCTTATCAAAATACACACAACGAACTTGATGCTAACCAGACATTATACAACTTAAGCTGGATTTATATACAAGGATTGTATGTATTTATTGTCCGGTAATAGGATTTGTGACATCAGTCTAACCACTCGTGCAATGAGTGATGCCAATGGCGCGGTAAATAAATGCCTCAAAACCCGGGCATAACGCTGAGGCATAATGCCTGCCCGATATATGCCGGGCTTTTATTTTGCCACACTAGGTATTTGGCAACCATATGGAGTTGTAATTTATTGTAATGTTTTTGTGTTTACTTTTTATTGAGGCATTTGCAATGGGAGGTCCTGTTTATGATATAAACACAGTGAATATTAAAGTTATTTATAAATGAATAAATAAAATGTTTCGAATCCATTAAATGTACTGTGTCAATCGATTATCAATTATCAGTTTATTAAAATTAGTGACCATACATAAATGATACTATATGGTGTTATATTCATTCATTCACTATACAATTTTAAATGTAACTAGTTATTTAACATGCACGGCTCACTGGCAATCGTAACCACATAATAGCACCTATCTATCAGCCCATCATACCGGTGCTCATCAGCGTAATAACCCATCTCAGCCTCAGTGGCCACTCGTTTAGGTCAATGGACCGGTAGTCCAATTGGTACTGAATTTCCCCTTATTATGGATGCTCCATATAAAGTGCTAACATTGAGTGAATGCAAAGCTATTGATAACACAATTGACACTCAATTGTCGTCACTTTTGCTGATATGCGAGAAAGCTTTCGATGAGTTGTCAGTCATAGGGTCGGGTGGTTTTGGGACAGTATATCGAATGAGACACAAAACTGATGGTCAGATTTATGCCGTAAAAAAGATTGCAATTAAAGGTATTTTTGAAATGACATGAAATTTTACGTTATTTTCATTTATATGTATTTCTTGAAAAACATTTCAGTGTTTAATGGAACGGAAACTGAAAATGCATTGAAAGAAGTGCAGAGTTTGGTGAAAGTTAGCTCACAATATGTGGTCCAATACTACTACTCATGGCTTGAAACCGGGTTTCTGTTCATACAAATGGAGTTATGTTCACAGAGTTTGCGGAATATTCTTGACGTCAAACCAAACATTTAACCGAAAATCTGGAAAATCGATGGATTTATACGAGTATTTCATTTCCTGTGAAATGTTTCGACAAATCTTAGAAGCCGTCAATTATTTGCATGAATTGAACCCAAAGATCATTCACAGAGACCTAAAACCAGACAAAATATTGATTGCACACAACGTAAGGAACGGCAGGTTTTTGAAGTTATGTGACTTCGGGTTGTCTACAGTTCACGACAAACGGGTTCACTACAGGACTACACGTCAACATACGGCAGATATTGGGGACGTTAGATACATAGCACCGGAAGTATTTCAGGGCAAGAAGTATAACCACAAATGCGATGTCTATGCCCTGGCCCTAATTGGTGGCAACATATTTGATCTGGATGTGTTTGATTTAAATAAGTATTGATTTTAATTTTAGATTCTAGAAATTACAATTATAATTTATAATTTTATCATAAATATAGTTCGCAGCCCTATTCAAAAGCACACACTGCCCTAAACGCACCGGTACTTGAATTGCAAACAATATTGGACTCTATGTTCACCAATACGTGGGCTAAACGCCCGGAATGTCGTGAAGTGATAGACAAATACAACGAGTGGTCTATTGATCAGAATATTCTCACAAACGATACGGAATTTGACGGAACTTTACATAGACTTCAAGCAAACGATAACTCATTTTTCTACCAAATCTTGACATCTATTTTGAACAAATAACTCAAATTATTATTGAATTGTTTATAAATGAATTAATTACCAAATACTATATGAATCGAAAATTATTTTCAAATATTGCTTTATTACTGTAATTATAAATTATTAGTATTTAAAAGTAACATGGTAAAAGTAAAGTAAAATTAATTATTTATTTGTGCTGTAATTATATAACTTTGTATTCAAATCCACGGCTCACTGGCATTTGTGACCACATAATAGTACGTATCCATCAGCCCATCGTACCGGTGCTCATCAGCGTAATAGCCCATCTCAGCCTCAGCATCAACTCGTTTAAGTCGATGCACCGGTAGCTCAACACCCGGCTCTCCATCCAACACCCAATTGGTAATGAATTTCCCCTTATTATTGATACTCCATATAAAGTAGTCGATCGCACGGGTATGGCTCACCGTAAACCCACTCCCTAAAGGGTTAACCGGCCCTTTAGGGTCATCCCCTAAAGGTAAATACATATAAGGCTTACTGTCGGGGCTGTCGTTCGTGGGCTGATTCCAGCCGTAGTTCGGGTAGAAATCGAGCGAACCTAACGGCGCTAACGTCCCGTAATAGGGGACAGCCTTCCCGTCCGTATGTATGACATCCACGAGCTTTGCGTCCGTTTTCTGTAGCCTTACGTCAAAATTTTCGACTTGAAAGCCTAGCCCCGCCGGGTCTAAACCGGTAATCCTGTCTATAAGAGCACCGGGAGCTGACGCACGACCGGCCGCTCCCATTAGGTGTGCGCCCAGACTGTGACCGACAGCCCATACGGCGACTGAGTCCTCGAAACGCCGTTTAATTGCCACGAAATACTGGGCCAACCATTGGCCGACTGCCAGCGCGTTAACGGCCGCCTGTTCGTAGTTATAGAGGCGTAGGTCGGCCCCACCACCCCAGCCCACTATCACCACTGTCTGATCCCTTTCCCCAATCATGCGGTCTTTCATGAGGTGCAGCCATGGCTTGTGTTTATCGGTCCGGAAGCCGTGCGCTATGAATACGACCCGTTTTGCGGGCAATAAGTCGTTGGCTATCATGAGGTCCACGGCTTGCGAGCCGTTTGTGTCGTAACTGATGTCCAATTGGCGCCGACTCTGGCGATAGACTAGCAGTTCAGGTGCAATACGATCCATAGGCCAGGGATCTGGATGTGTGCCCAACAGTAGGGCTGTTCAATAGGTCGCGGTTTGTGGAGTATATTACCCATGAGTTCGTGGATGAGGTATAGAAGTGTAATAAACATTAATTATTTTATAAGTAAAATAATGTTTGAAATTATTTATTATATACAGTAGTTTTTGTTGCAATTTATTTATAAACATTACATAAAGTCTGGCTAAGAAAAGTATGCTATTATCAGACTTTTGTGTAGGCTTATTAGCGTAGTGTTTATATTAGTTATCAAGGTATTTTATAAGTAGCTCTCATAATGTCAGCGATTAGATAATAGCGAGTAATTAGTTTTAATTATGTCATTAAGCAAATATTTATTTTGATTACTAGCCAGCAAGTTTTACTTACATTTATGTGTTAAAAGGTAATTGTGGTTGGAAAAATTATTTTGTTAATATAACAAAACAATATTGTTAATTAATCAGCATGCAAATTGTAAAAACAATTTTAATACACATAATAAATTTTACTAAAAATAATTTACATAATTATTTTTGTATAGAAATATTCAACAATTATTATATAAAATGTTTTCGCATATAAAGCCATATATTGCAAATATGTCTAAATTCATTTACACAACANATTATATAAAATGTTTTCGCATATAAAGCCATATATTGCAAATATGTCTAAATTCATTTACACAACATACACATCCTGTTACAAGTGTTTATCCTGTTCATATAATTTTTGAAATAATTTATTCAAATTATAATCATAAGTTAGCGTTAAATAAATTGTATTTTAAAGCATAACCTATTCATCGATATAACTAATGTTAAAAAGCCATTGAATACTGCATTGGATTTTCTAATTGAAGCTTTTCATACAAATCTCACATAAGGGTCCATATATTCAAGATTTTGAATTTTATTATATGTATCATAGCGTGTGATTTACAACTAAATAATCAATTATATTGGTTTTGATTAAAATATCCTTGATAACTAAAGTTGTAATACGTGTAACTTATATACTATCCATTGACTATTTATTACTCATAGCATGAATGTGTAGTGAAAATGTGCTCATAATTGCTATTCAATGGTTTCATTGAGACCAAACATTAGCCAGAGACTTACTATTTTCCCTTCACATACAATGTTACATGTTTTTGGCTCTTTATGGGTCAAGTAGTCTATGTCATAAAGGTCCAGACGGTTATTATTGTGAATACATATTAACTGAATTTTGACATTTAATTTCATTTTAAATCAAAAAGTGTTTGATTCTTATATAATTTTCAACGAGGAGTCCGAATATGTAACTTATATTGACCTGTGACTTGGGAATCGACCGCAGTGACCACTTTTATCGGGTCAACTTTCATTATAAATATGCACTTATGATATATCAATTCAATGGAGAATTTTACACTAAATACGATGGTATATATGAAAACATTGTTAACTTAAATTATATTGCCGAAAACGCCAATTTAGTGTATATAATATGAAAATTCACAATATTTACGTTCAATTTTGAGTTTTTCTAAATATTATCTACATTATCGTATTCTGCGTTAATTTCACTTCCAAATTGATACAACACATGCCATGATTTATAATGTTAATTTTTCCCGTTACAATTGGCCACTGCCGTCGGACCAGAGGTCTCAGGACAATATAAATTATATTTTCCAGATTCTCACTAAATCTCCTTTCATATCTAATCATAATACCCGTTGTGGCTTTAATTAAAAATTATGATTTTGCAATGTGACTACATTTAACGGAAAAATTAACATTATAAATCTTGGCATGTATTCTATCAATTTGAAAGTGAAATTAACGCAGAATACGATAATGTAGATAATATTTAGAAAAACTCAAAATTGAACTTAAATATTGTGATTTTTCATATTATATACACTAAATTGGCGTTTTCGGCAATATAATTTAAGTTAACAATGTTTTCATATATACCATCGTATTTAGTGTAAAATTCTCCATTGAATTGATATATCACAAGTGCATATTTATAATGAAAGTTGACCCGATAAAAGTGGTCACTGCG